TTAGGATGAAGCACAACACACATAGGCACCCAAATCAGCAAATTGATAAGTTTGATGATATCTACACTAGGGGAATGATCACCGAAGTATCCTAGGATGAATCGCAACTCACACATGCATCAAGATCGACAAAAATCACAGTTTTGGAGGCAGGAAGAAATAGAGGAAGGTGGAGAAGAAGAAGGGGAGGGGGAGGGGGAGGAGGAAGAAGGGGAGGAAGAAAAGGAAGAAGAAGAGGAGGAAGAAGAAGGAGGAGAGGGAGAAGAGGAAGAAGGAGAAGAAGGAGAGGAAGAAAGAAGGAAGAAGGAGGGGAAACTTCCTCCCTTCCCACTCACGTTTTGTTGGTCCTTAGGCAGTGGAGTCCCAAGCTTGGTTCTAGCTCCTTGAGTGTGGCTTCCCCACGTCCTAAGTTCTCTCCTCCTTCTCTCACACCCCCTCTAAAGTTATGGCAGACTCCTTCCTCTAAGGCTATGGAGTCCTTCCCTCTAGAAGGGCTAAGGGGACCCCTTTCAGCCTCTCCTCCTACCTCACAGCCTGAGGGCTATGGCGGACCACTCTCCTTGCTTCCACCTAGCCTCTAGGCCTTCTTCCTCAGCCCTACCACCATAGCCAGGCTCCTGGCTAGCTCCGACTCTCACTTCCTTGCTCTACTCCACTATGACTTCTCTCATGGACTCATTCTGGCAGCATGGGCTCCTCTCATGCTGGAATGAGAGTGGCGGCCTGCACCCTAAGCTTATGTAGGCTGAAACTGGTGCACCGCCCAACCTCTAGGCCTCTCCAAGTGCCCCTAAGTGGACCGAGGTACCCCCAAGGCCAAATTTTCGGTTTTGGCCTGTCTGGAGGTACCCGAGCCTTATTTTGGTCAAGTGCATGCAGTCCGAGTGGCTGGTACCCTCTCGGACTACCCCTTGGCCTACCCCGGCCTCTCTTTACTTCAAAAAGAGCTGCATTTTGGGGTACCATTTCCCAAAATGCAGCCTTTACTGAAATTTGAGGGCCTAGAGGCCAATTTTTCGTCTTTTTCCTGGTCTTGGCCTCTTTTGGGTAGGCCGTTGCGTTTTTCCAAGTGGCGGCTCCAATCTCAGCATTGGATTTGGCTGAGATCCAAGGTTCTCATCATTCGGAGCTACCCCCAAGCTCCCCTTGGCCAAAATTTGAGCCTTTACTTCAATTTTACATTCTTTTTTTGTGTATCTAGCCCAATCCTTGGGCCAAATACGTCGTTTTGTCTTGTTCCCCTCTTTGTTTTCCCTCCATTTTGCTGCCAACTTATTCTGAAGCTAGTCGTTTTGTGTCATCCCACAAAAAACGGCTAGATCTCCTCCTCTGCAAGATCAGATTTCAGATCTAGGGCCCAAAAATGAGCCGGCCAACTCACATCAGCATTTTTTCTTATTTTTGCTGCTTAAATTCAGATATTGCAGAGATAATGCCCTAAGGACCTTATCTCTGCAATCCGGACTTCCCTCCTAGGATCTAGGAGGGATGGGGTCATCAATGAGACCTGCCAGTCCCTACCGCTGTAGTCCCAACCTGGCGGCTTTTTTTTCTCCACCCATTCCTCCTCCTTTGTCTCATTCCCCCCCCCTTTTCTCCCCTTTTTCCCTCCTGTCTCTTTTATTTGCTGTTGGGACAAGTGTCCAACAACTATTTCTCCACTTTCTGGTTGTTGGACTTTTCCCAAGACCTGATTTTGCAGCCAGCATATGGCCGTTACACCTCGGACTGCAGTAGTGGCACCCCCAAGGTCCAAGGAGGCTCCTTTTTGCTACCGCCGCCTCCAGTTTGAGACCCCCTTGCTCCGATTCTCTCCGGCCAGCCTTTTCTCCACGTGGAGTCCTCGGAACTTCATTTTTCTTGGCCTGGCTGGTCCGGAATAACCCGGACTGCTGGCCGACCCCCTCATTACCACTATTCCCCCTCCTTTTTTTTCCCTTGGCACCTCCTGCTGGCGCTTGCCACGGTGGTACTTATCATTTTCATCCGGACCCCTGGCCCAGGCGGTCCTGGCCACCTGATATTATGTTATTTTATTTTTATCGTCGTTGCACTTGATCAAGGGTCCCCTTAGGTCGTCCCAGGCGCCCTCCGCCTTTCCCGTCTCACACCCGCCTCCTCCGTTCCTTTAACAATTTTCGTCAGCGCCCGACTTCTTCTGTTTTTCTTATTGTTCCTAACCCCTCCCCTTTTTCCGGCGTCATCCCGGGTGACGACCTGCTCTCGAGCACCCCCCCCCTTTGGGCTGGTCGTCGATTACCCCGCCGACGGCTCCGATCTTCAGCCCCCGTTGGTGGCTTCGATACTTTATCCCGTCGGTACCCGTCCTGCTAGTGGTTCTGCTGGTGCCGCCATTTTATCTAGGCCCACGCGGTCCCTGACACTTCGGCCCGCCTTCATTACGTCTTTCCCTTGATCTCACGCGGTTCCCGGTACTTCGCCCTGCCGACACTACGTCGTCCCTTGTTCCCGCGTGGTCCCCGACACTTTGTCCTGCCGGTACCGCCCCGTCCTTCGATCCCATGTGGTCCTCGGCACTCCTACCCCCCCTGTACCACGTCTTTCCTTGGTGCTCCCGACGTCCTTCCGCCTTACGGCGATCTCCGCTCCCTGTTCCTCTTGCGTCCCACACGCTGTTCCGTTCCGGGTGCCGGCTCCCATCCAACCGGCGGCCTCCTTGACCCTCTTACCGCTATGTCACATCAGCGCCTTGCGCCCTGTCCCTTCCTACTTCCTTCCTTCCCTTGCTGCGCACCTCCTATGCTACTACCGACTTCCTGGCAGCCCTTCTCTGTCCTTGTGGAAAGAGTCGCCCCTGCTATTCTCTCACAGTCCTTTGCCGTGGGAAAAATTGTACTGAAAATGTGGGGATGTCCTAAGAGTAATGAATGACCCGGGAGGAATGAATGTCCTATGAGTAATGAATGACTCCATGTGGACTCCACCCGGTACCTCGCCCAACCTCTCCCCTTGGAGAGTGCCGCCCAACTTAGTGCGGGCAGCAGTGGTCTGACCCAAATGGCCATGCCACCCCTCTATGACGTGGCGTGTGGTTGGAGAGTAGTAAAATAGACTTAGATAAAAATGACTCTCTCGCCCATTTGGCTCTCTCGCCCTTTGACATTTAGGCGCTCAACAGGAGGCGCATTTTGAACTCTCCGACTAAAGCTCATTGTCGGAGGTGGTTCCGGACGTCCCGCACCGATCCAAGTGGTAGGTGCCTTAGTCCTTTAACCCTCACCCTCTCGAAGAGGAATAGGTCGCGCTGAGACTTTTTCCCTCAAAGGGATAGAGGTCTTGGGGTCGCGGTGCATGCACCGGTATCTTCCTCTTGCTGAGGCCAAAGACTAGAGGAAAAGAGAAATTTTATTTCAAAGTTTTTTCCAAGTCCATTTCGAGTTGCCTAGGGTCCCATGTTTATGCAATGCAATTTTCTATACTCAATCCAATTTCAATGCTCAGTCTCATTCCCATGATCAATCTCAGTCCGGTGCTCATTCTCAGTCCAATGCTCAATGCAATACCTCTTCCAAGGCTGACTCCAATATCTCTTTCAATGTCGTTTCCAGGGCTCAATTCTTCCAATGTCTTTTCCAAGGCTCAGCTCTTCCAATGTCTTTTCCAAAGCTCCACACTTACCAATATCTTTTCAGAGGCTCAGCCCTTCCAATGTCATGCATCTCAAGCAGCCATGCAAGGGGACCCCAGTGCCAATTCCAAAGAATGACCCTTGTCAGGGGCCATTCCGAACAACCTGGTTAGGGTCGTTCTTTCCATTTCCAAGTTGACCAGCCTAGTTAGGGTCATTCTTATCCATTGCAATCGGACAACCTGGTTAGGACCACCCTTATCCATTTCCATTGGACAGCCTGGTTAGGGTCATCCTTGTCCATTTCAACGTTAGCGCCCGAGGGGGTGGGCCTCGAGGACACGGATCCTATCTCGTCTCGGGGGTTGGAAGGCGGCCATCGTCTTGGGTTTTTACGCATGCTTCTTCCATTTCCCTCATGCCATTTGCCAATCTTACATCCATCCGTACATCCGACTTAGCGTCTAATGCTCGAGTTGGAGATCGCATCCCCAAGCAGTACTAGCCCACCCGACCGTTTAACCATTACAAGGGGTGCTGACTTCTTTCGATGTTTTCTCTTTCTCTGGACTCTCATGCATTTTGTTATTCTGGAGCGACATGGAACCGGTTGGATTAGGTTCCTAGGGAAGAGGGTCCTTCATGCCTCTTTACCCATAGGTCCCCTAACCTCTCACAAGGACTTGTGTAAAGACTCATTCAATCATGGACACAAATATAAAAGGAAAAACTCTCGTCATCAACGTTTCTTCCAATATCCAGGAGTTTACATGTCCTTGTCTATGACCTTAAGACAACATCGATCATCCCCAGTCCCTTTCTTACTATAAAAAAAAATCATATTTCCCGGAAGGAGCGAGTACTCATACAAAGTAGCACTGGTCAGCCCCCCCCCCCTACTAGTTTCCTCAATCCAAAAAGTAGTTTCACTGCAGTCCTTCCCAAAAAAAGAGGAGACAAAGTTCGAATGCAACGACAACATTACAGACTCGTCTCATCTAGGTCCCCCTTGTTTTCCCTTTGCTTGCCCTTAGCCAACGCAACCAGTCACGGTTCTATATCTAAGTGCACTGATCCTTATGTGTTTTTCCCGAAGAAGCAACGACTCATACGAAGTAGCACCCATTGCACAGTCCTTAGTCAAAAGTTGTCTCATCTCAATTCATTTAACAGAGTTCAAGTGCGAAACTCAAAATGGTCGTTGTGCCTGCCCAGGTACCAACCCTCCCCCAATTTCCAGCTATTTCCATCACGCCTGTTGTCCCCTTTTACTGCCCCGGTGCCCTGCGACGAGTCTCCCTCCTTGCACGGTCCTCCATCTCTTGCTCCATTAGCCTCTTTATCGCCTGCAGATGAAGAAGCGTTTCTTCTAAAAAGAAGGTTGTTGGGGATATGTCTTCTCCCCTGCTCAACTTTTCCTTGCCCTTCATTGCCCACTGATAACGCAAAATACTGGACCATTGATCGAACTAATCGCTGAAAGTCGGCCCGAATTCTCTTTTCCATGGGTCCTTTTCTTCCCCTGGGTCCTCCTCTCTTCCTTGATCTTCCCTTGTGGGCGTTGTCACTTCGTCCTCTTCTTCCCCGCTACTGAGGTCTATGACCTTGATGGACTCCTCCTTCTCCAACCTTGGCCTTTTCCCCGGGTTCCTCTGTTCCTCCCTGCTGGTATCGCTTTCAGAGGGGAGGACTATTGGCTCCCCCTCCCTTGGTGGTGAAGGTCCCCTAGTCCCTTGCTTTCTCTCCCCCTGTTCACCAACCAGGTTGTGGTCAAACCCCACATACAATTTCCTTTTCCTGGAGCTTGATTCTCCAGCCTGTCTCGACGACTGTCCCTCAGTAGGCCTATTGACGGCGTTGCTGTCATTTTCATTTCCAAACTCCATCTTGCTGTTTTCTTGTTGTTTTCTCCTTGCCTAGTCCTGTTCATGCATAACCGTTACCGCAACCCCTTATACACACGCATTCCCTTCTACTCCCATTTGCAGCTTTGGAGGCTTCCCCAGAACTCTTGCTTGCCCCCATATACTTGGTAGTCTCATTATCCCTTAGAACCCTCGACACATTGTCCCAACACATAGGCGCCCCATGTAGGCAGTCCACAACATCACCCCACAAAAACTATAGTACATTGTCCCAGCACATAAATACCTCGTGTAGACAGTCCCCAGCGTTACCCCACAAAAACTATAATACACTATCCCGTGCTCCCAAGCCCAGTCACAGTCAGCCCAGGCAGTCTCCCCACGTTCCACAAAAAGCAAGACATACAAACGAACAATCCCTGTGGTCATGATCACTTCCACATTGAGGCGGTCCAGAACTAATAGCCAGCTGCCTGCCTTTCAGGTTGTCAATTCCCCAGTTTCCCTGTCCTGACTTCTTGTAACCATTGTTCCACCGGATCCCTACTAAAAAATATGGTCAGTCTCTGTCCCGGAAATGGTCCTCTTATGCTAGTACCATCAAGATCCTCAAGTTCAAACTTATTCAGTCCCACCCACTTAGCGATCCTGTAAGGCCCTTTGAATCTCTTTCCCAGCTGCCCAGACCATGTGCTTTCAAGGGTCGAGTTTCTAACTAGCACTTTCTCCCCCACCTGGAGTGGCTCTTTCCGGATGTTCTTGACCTGGTCCCACCTTGCTTTGTCCTTCATTCGGCTATCCGTTACACGGTTAACTACTTCCTCCAATGCCTCCTCATTCTTGGCGACCTGCTGGCAACGTGTGGTGATTAACTCCTCCGTGGTCAAGTGCGGATTATCGTCTAACCCGTTCCAGGTAGGGACGAGGGCCTCCACTGGGAAGTCGATCTCCCTTCCATACCATAGCTCCGCTGGAATGCATCCCGTCGTTCTTTTTGGTGTCATGTTCTCAGAGAAGACTGCCTGCTTAAGGTACCGTGGCCAGTTCCCCAAGTTGTCTGCTGCAAGCTTAGCGATTGTGTTTTTCAAGGTCCGGTGCCCCCTTTCTACTGGTGCATTTGCATCAGGGTGGTAGGGCTCAGTGATCTTGATTGGTACCCACAGTGTCTTAAGCCTGTTCAACACCTCCTAATTAACGAATTCTGTCCCATTGTCTGCTATAAACCTGCGCACGAACGGGTGTCTTAGGTAGAAATCTTCCACCCAGTCGGCCACTACTTTCCCGTCTTCTTTTTGAGGGCTACGACCCACTGAGATTATCCCTTGCATCCAGGATGTATCTAAACCCATCCGTCGATACGGGCATGACCGCAAGATCGAGGTGAACAAGGTGTCCGGGTCCCAGTACCCGAGTGGGTCTAAGGGGCTCGTAAACTCGTACGGAGCTCCTTTCTTGACATATCAGACACGTCTGACAGTACGTTGCGACCATGCCTGCCATTCCTGGCCAGAAATACAGGGGCACGATTTTTGCAAGTGTCTTCTTTGACGACCGGTGACCCCCAGCTAGCCCATCATGTATTGCCTGAATTACGTCCAGCTGCCTAGACCTCCCATAAACGACTTGCATATGCATTATTCATTCCTCTTTCTTAAACAAGTGGCCATTTCTTAAGACATACTTCTCAGTTTCCTCCCTTGTCTTGGAGCTGACTTCCGAGGGTTGTTTGTTCCCTACAAGCAGCAGACCGATTTCTCTAAAGACGCCCTCATACATCTGTATGAGGAAGAACTTTTGTTCCTTCCGATCCGTATCCTGCTCTCTTCTCGGGTCTGGTTGACTAGGTACGGGCATTCCTTCTGCACCCCATGTTTCGGCCAACGTCATCACGGCGTCCCGTCCCCCTTCCACGGCCATTGCCATCAGTTCCTCTCTGGCCCCAACTTCTGCTCCCCACGAGTCCTTTTCCTCTTTGCGCCTGACCGTGGTGACTGGTCCTTCCCTGAGTTCTGCAACTACTGCAGGCGTGCTGTTTTCAAAGGTCTGAATCAGCAGCTGGCCTGTTGTAAGCGTTGAGTCGGCCATTTCGTTATCCACAACAAGGGTCCCCCCTTCGTAATCTAGGAAGGCGTCAATTGGTTCCGCGTCCTCTATTCCCTCCGGCGTGATGCATACCCTACTCAGCCCATCCGCCCTGTTCCGAAGCCCTGTGATCCGGTCGACCTTGTAGTCGAACTGCCATATGAAGCCTGTCCATCTGCCGATGGTCGGATCTATAGGCTTGTAATTCTTCAGTGCCCCAGCAACATTGGTGGGATTGATCCTTAAGATGAATCGCCTTCCGAACATATATGCCTGGAAGGTCTTTAGGCAATGTAGGATGGCTAAGACCTCCTTCTTGAACTGCGAGTACCGCCGTTTTGCCGAATTCAAGGTCCTACTCTCGAATCTGATCGGTCTTTCCTTGCCCTCCTCGCTTTTCTGTATCAATACGCCTCCTACTGTCATTGGGCCGCCATCTGTATCTAGGATGAAGGGTCGTCCTACTTCGTCATTGAAGCAGGGTGCTGCTAAGATAACCTGATCGGACGACAGGATGTCTTTCAGGGTCTGGGCTGCCTCTTCCCTATCCTCGGTCCAATCTATAGTGCCACCTTCCCTAATCATCGCGCGGATAGGTTCTGCTATCTTTGCGAAACCCTTGATGAAGATCCTCCAGAATCCAACCACCCCTAGGAAGGCTCGTACTTCTATCGTGGTACGCATGGGTGTCGGCCACTGAGAGATCTTATCTGTCTTTGCTGGGTCGGGTCTCCTTCCATAGGCCCCACAGCGAAATACTAGTATAGTTACCTCCGGGACAGCCAGGATGCTTTTTGGCCCACTTGCTGTAATATTATAGAGCAAGAACCGCTGTAGGAAATCCTTGATATCCTGCGGGTGATCCCAGACAAATTTCCGCACACCCGGCTCGACCTCCGTCTCGTCCTTGTACCTTGCGCCTTTTACGGGATTATCATCTATATACGGCTCACACTTTTCTGGAAACATATCCCCTGTGACGGCGAGCATCCTCCTCTGCGCCTCTGCTACCACATTTATGAAACTCATAGGGGTCACTTGCATCTGCAACTGTCCCACGGGGGTGTGCATTGCGGTGTACGGTCTATCCCTCGCATCGAGCGACAACTGATTATATCCTGAGTACAAGTCTACCAGGGAGTAAATGCTCCGCCCCGCATGAGATTCTGCCAACAAATCGGCTTGTGGAAGCGAGCCTGCGTCCCTAATTGTTACCCCATTGAGCTTCTGCAGGTCCTGGATCCACCTGAGCGTCTTATTGGGCTTCCTGAACACGAACCACTTGTTCGCGTAGGGGGATGTGGTGGGTTCAGCCACGAAAGAATCTATCTTGGCTCTGAGTAGGTCGGTGATCTTCGCTGCTATCCCAAACTCATAGGCAAGCCCTTTATCATTCCAACACTCGTGCTGTACGGTGTGGATCGTGACAGGGGGAACTAGCTTTGCTTCCAATCGCCCTTTCTGATGATCGTTGAAAGCGAACGCCAAATAAAAATTCTGACATGCCTTTCTTATCAACTGGGTTTCTTCCGGTATTAGGAACCCTTCCACTCCTATTTTCATGGTATCTGCTACGTCATCTGGTATGCGATGACCTTCCGCTGCGCGTCTCTCCCTTATAACCCGTAGGATCTCCTCTTCCTTTTCCATGGCCTCTTCCCTTGATGTTTCTACTAGGATCGAGACCGGCTTGGCCTTCTTCCCTACGGGTTTGTATTTTCACACACTGCCCTCTGGGATCATTCTCCTAAAAAATGAACGGTCGGGATCGACCTTGCTACCTCCAAGACGTGGGGCTGGATGCTGACTAGCTTCCCATTCAGACAGTAGCCCTTTTGGACTCCATTCCCAAATCTAGCAAGCGTTGTGGGGTCCACCCCCACTTTGTGGTACCTGATGGCCTTAACGAGTTGTAACAAAGCTGGGATTTCAAGCACCACCTCCGACGTTTCGTTCCGGCCTTCCTTTGGTTTGGGCAGGCTGGCCCCAAGTTCGACTTCCGACTCTTTTTCTGCCACCATGACTTTCAGGGCCTCGTCCTCTTGCCTCCTCTTCTTCAGGGGTAGACCCATCTTGATCCACTCCTTCTTGGTAAAGGCTTCCTCAATCATGATTTTTACTCCTTCTCTCATACCTTCCATCCGTGCRATTGCGCCTTTCCGGGCACTTTCTTCAAACGTCGGCGACCAGGTTGCCAGTTTACCCTTGGGAGGGTCCCCTCCAGTTCCGAGGAGTCGGAGGAGTTCTCCGCGACCTGTCACCGGATCCTCTATGTCTACCATGTACGTACCGTCATGTAAGTGCATGCCAATCATTTCTACATTGGCGCACCAAGGTCTCCCAAGGATTATGTCATGGTTCATTTCTTCCATGACGGTCATCCGTTGGAAAGACCAGATGGATTCCCGAATTCCTGCCCTGACCGCGCATTTGGTGACATACCCAGTGAAGGGGATTTCTCCGCCTACTCCCCTGATACTCCCTGCTACTTCCTTGTTTACTGTGCATCCTGTGATTGTTGCGAAATCCCGTCGTATGAGGGTAATTCCCGCGTCGCCGTCCACTAATGCATCGGTGTGGTGAGTTCCGATCTGGATTTTAAGTTTTCCTATGGGCAGTGCGTGAAAGCTAAGTTTAGTGCCAGGCGGTGCTCTCATGACTTCGCCACCTTCTCGGTCCGGCAGGTTCAGACGAATATCAGCAAAGACTTTTTCCAAATCTTCCAGACCCCCTGGAATGCTTCGGAGGTTAGAGACTCCTTGTGGCGCCTCGGCCTCCTCGGTTCCCTGTTCCTGTGGTTCCGGGGCCTCCTCTACTTCTACACGTTTACGCGTCAATAGCTGCCTGAGGCCCTTGAGCAATCTCGGGCTTGCCTGCAGCATGGTCTGGAAGGATACCGACACCATGGTGCCCAGGAGTTTGCTCAGCGTGTTATCTAATTCGGGCAACGTCAGAATTGGGATTTGGTATCTGAACTTCTTTTTTGCCGCTGTGGCTTTGTCTACCGGTTCCTCTTCCCTCGTTTTTCCATAGACCTTCTCCTGTTCCCCAGCCTCAGCTTCCTCCTGATCTGCACTAGCCCCCGCGGTTTCTTCCATTACTGTGTCTCGTATGAGCTTCTTTTCCGCGCCAGCCCGTCGGGTAGTGATATTTACCCTATCCTGCCCATTGCCTTCTAGGATAAAATTGGCCTGTGGTCCCCGTCCCCTTGGCTGGTCCCACACAATCTCGGCTATCGGCTCTGCTTCTACGACAACTATTTCTAAGTTATTCAGGAGGATGACGGCTCGCCGCATCCCTCCTTGCCAGTTCCAATTGACACGCTCTCCCCTAGGTCCGAGGATCTCGCCTTTGAGGGACCTGCTGCATCTCTGCCGCTCGATATCGTGATTGAGTCTCGGACAGGCCCGTACGAAATGCCCGATCATGGTGCAATACTTGCATTGTTCGTTGGTCGGGTCCCTCTTGCCAAATCCCCGGTTTGCTACATTTGTCGGAACCACGGCTTCTTGAGGCGGGAGGGCGGGTCTAGACACTTGGGCCTGCATTACTGACAGCGCATTTTCCATTCTTTCCATCTTGCTATCAACCCCATGCACTCGCTCGTGCAAGCTTTCTATCTCTTTCTTAACCTTATCTCCCATTTTCCCGGTCAGATCTATGACCTCCCCTTCCTTAAGCAGGGCTAGTGTCTCGGTGACCACTGTCTTTTCCGCAAGGTCTGTTACGGTGCTGAAGTCCACATTTGTCATGTACTCGAACTTACTGGTCTGCTGGTATGCTGACAAAATCTTATCCTTATCAAACTCGGAGAATTACCTAAGGAAGTATTTACTCATTATGCGGTCCGTTACCCCGGGAATTCGCAGAGCCACTAACGTGAATGCCCTTAGGAAATCGTTGTAAGTCGCATAGTTTTTCCTCTGGACTGCGGCTAATTCGGCCTCTGTTGCCATTTTCTCTGCCTTCAGGTATTTCCTCATCATCTCATTCCTGGTTTCTTTCCAGGATCCACTGGAGGCGACGATGGCCATAATGTCCCTTCCCAAGCTTAGCGACACGTGCTGCCCTAGGTGCTCCATTTTTTCCTCTTCCGTCCATTTTAGTAAGGCTGCTAAGTTCTCATAGTCTATCAGAAACTCCGTAATGTTTGCCCCGTCGAACGTGAGTTTCTTCTTTGCATCTGCGAGATATCCCTGGTTCTTGTTTAGTGCCCGGGTGAGGGTGGTGACTATCCTCTTGAGACCACCTTCGGAGCTACCTGCTTCTCCAGCTTCACTGGTCCCTTCCCCTTCCTTGCTTTCCCTCTGCTTCTCCCTGGTTTTCGGTGTTCCTTCTGGGTCAAACCATCCTAGCACCCTTTCCCTAAGACTCCAGAGTCCGTCGCACGCCCCTGTTACTTTCGGCGTGGCTGGCAGTCGGCTAGTGCCGCTGTCGATGGCAGGCGGGGTCATAACGTTTTTCGTCCCCTTCGTCGGGGGGTCGTTCTTGTCCTTCCCCTTCTTACTAGGCATTCCTTTATGACTATTATCCTTCCCCTCATACCTGGCCTCGTCCTGACCTGTCCCGCGTCCCTCACGTGACCCTGCGCCCTGGGGGTCCTCCTCGTCCTCGACCATCATCTGCTCGATAAGCCTTGCCTTAAATTCTGCAGTCTGCTTTTCTATCTCTGCCAATTTACGACAGGCATCCAAGACTTTTGTCTTTTTAGGGGTGGCTCCTGCTAAGTTCCGAGGGCTTGTTCTCATATCATTTCCCCCTTCCCTGTTTTCCTGAGGTCCCCTTTTGCTCCCAGCTTTCCCCGAGTTTTTTCCAATTGAGGCGTCCTTTCCGTCTTCTCGGGTTCCTTCCAGTTTGGCTGACTCTCCATCCCTGGCTGATCCCTCGTTTCGTTCCCCATCCCCATTCGTGCCCCGATTCCCTCCGCTCTGCTGGTCATCGATCCCTTCCTCAGTCGCCATTTCTTTACCTCGCCTGCACATGGAAAATTTGTTTTTGCGAAAAAGTGGCCGACTGTTCATAACTGTCCTAGCCCCGGCCCTAAAATCCGCCTATTCCCATGTTTTTGCGTCTTATGTTTAATCGGCCCGACTCTTCTGACTTTCCTTTCCCAGGGTGTCCTTCATGTTTCCTCCCGCCGGGGGACTTGCTGCCGCTGCTTGGCATTTTATCGCTGCCGCGCTTTGGCTCTTAGGGCGGTGTTTGAGCCAAGTGGCCTCCTTATCGAGGATGGCCCTTTTGGCTTTTCGACCTCCAAATGCCCCAGAGTTTTCTGGTGCCGGTGGTTTTCCTAGTTCCTCCTTGCCGTGCTATCGGGTCGGACGGAACTCCAACCACTGCCCCCCCCCTTTTTTGGTGATAGCTGCCTTCTTATCTCAGTCCCCGTCTCTTATTTCCCTATTTCTTTCTGACGCATTTTCTCATGCCGGTCCCTCAGGCATGCCTTGCTCATCCGGTTTTTCGAACAGGTCGGCCACCCTAGCAAGATAGTTTTCTCCCATCTTTATTTTCCTAACGATTATTGGTTCATACTCCTCAAACGCCAAGCGAGGCAACCCGAATATCAAAATTTCAATCAGGTGAGGTCATTCCCAGGCCTGATTACCCCAGAACGGTCCATGCCTGACCGACACGTCGTAAAACATCCCCGTTGTCTGTGGTCGAAAGTGCTGAATCCAGACCAGGGTCGAATCCACTAGGTCCCTAGCCCTCTCAAGGCTTCCAAATACCAGGTCCACCATGAAGCGGGGGACTCGGCACCTCAGCCCTGTCGGGGCCTTAAACTCTCGCCAACCTCCTACTTCCACCCGTGTCCTCAACCGCACATTCCTCCTCCCTCGCACTTCCTGACCTACTCGGTTCAGTACCCTAGTAGCCCTTTGAAAGATTGGTAACAACCCATGTCCTAGTGCCAGCTCCGTTTCTAACATATGTCACCCAAGCTCTGGCAGGTATACGGTTCCCGTCACCCTGAGGTCAATGTACAGATCGTCCCCTGACCCCCTATTAATCCTCATACCATCCCACAAACATTCCACCTTCATGAACGCCTGGTCTCTTCCCAGGGTCACGGCTCTCCATTCGGTATCAATCCCTTGGACCCTGTAGCTTACCGTGAGCTTGTCGATTAGCGGTCCCCTGCACAGTTTAAACAGCAAGCGAGTTTGCTTATTCCATCAATTCCCTGGCCCTTACCTGAGCAATTCCTTGGTCCTTATCTTAATGCCTCTTTCCCCTTCTATCTCTTTCTTTTTCTCGGCTCTTTTACCAGCCTGTTTCTACTCCCGTTGACTCATACAATCGGTGTAAATCATCCACGTACGTCATCCCCTGACTTATTTTCCGCCGGGCAACACCCCATAGAACTTCATCACCTACGACCGGGGCCCTTGGCCTGGTGGTAAAAACGGCGCGCAGAGTCCGCAACACCTCATACTTCTGCTTCCCGCTAAACGGCTCCATTTCTAGGAAGGCCCGGTAGTATTCCCGGTGTATCATTGTGTCCTCATATGTCAGAGTGGCAAGATCAACTACCGCGCGTCTGACAAGTTCCACTCCGCCTAGCCTTTCCAGCAGGAAGGGCGACAGTCTCATCCGGACATTCTCACTAGGCAGTTCAAAGCTCCCGACCATGGTTACCCTAAGGTTTGATGTTACATCATCCATCCCTGGGTCCGCGAATTCGATTCCCGCCTGCCACACCAACTGCCACGCCCCTTCGAACATGCTCAATGGATCCTCCCCTGACGCCAACATAACTCCAAACTCCCGCCACCCATCCTCTGACATATACAACCGCCCTTCTGCACGCACATGCCCCTGCGGGTCCGGGTTCCATTCCCCACTCTCGTTCGCACGCCACTCAACTTTTGTTACTAAGTAAACCATGTTTTCCGCAAGTTCGACTCCGACCCAATCCGCCACCCGGTGCCAGCCTCCACTTGCCGCTGGCAAGCTAACCTCTATCCCGCCCGGTACTTCCCTAGGCGGTTCAATGCCCAAGGGGCGTTCCTCGAGGAACGTCCTTCTCCGCGCCATCACACACTCGCCTTTGATCTCCTGGCTCGCAGTCCGCACCGAACCCTACAATGGCCAGACATCCCATTCCCTTATTTTAGCAATTTTTCCCATACTTGCCTGGCCCCACGGCTTTCCTGCGCTTAGTCGAACCACAGTACTTCGAACAGTTTGAACACATCATCCACATAGCAAGATATTGCTGCTTTCTCACGGTGGCCTCCCCAGTTTCCGGAGCCACCTCCTGCCGGTCATTCTTTTCGATATCCAAAATGATAAGGATCTCCCAAGCTCTATCGCCATGGAAGGGCCCGTACTTCAAGGACGTCCTATAGAATTCCTCTGCCAGCCATGCGCAGTTCACATGTATTCGCTCCATTGTGTCGGCTACCTCTGTTACGTGATGAAAACCCCCAAACCAGTCCGCCACGAACTCGGGCACCCAGGTCTTGATTCGGGCGCCAAGCGGATTAAATTCCTTCCATCCTCCCATCACGACTCTACTGCTGACCGTATCCCAACCTTTGTTAACAAACCTTTCCCCACGCCTGCCGAGCCCTTGCCTTAGCGTCCCTTAAAAGCCACATCGGGTTCTGTCCTCCGCGAGCGTTGTGCGAAACAGGTGCCAACCTTGTTCAGAGAGAACGATCGTCCTGACTGATTCCACCCTTCCTTCCGCAATCTCTTCCCATCCATCCTCTTCCCTCAACGGGTTCCAGACACGCTCTATCCATAGGTACGATAGCTCCAACACAATCTCATACCCCTACCAATCACATGTGGTCCCCTTCCATTCATTGCTCGGCGATATTGACATCTCTACTCCCCTTCCGACTCATCTTGGTTCCCATGTGCAGTCCCATAGCTCGAGTTTCCGGGCCATCGCTCCCTACCTGCACATAGTCGACAACCCGTTTTCCCCAGGTAAGCCCCCCCTCAGAAGTCCCAGTCCTCTATCTCGTCCCCGTCCTCCTCATCACTGGAATCCTCATCCTCGTCTAAGAACATCTCTTGCAACCCTTCCAAGAAGGTTTCCCCTGCCGCCACGTTTCGGTAAACTATCTGCCGATGCACCGGACTAGGAACAAAAACTTCGTCCGTGCTGAGGAGGTTTAACACCTCAGCTAATTCTTCCGCCCAGTTTCCTTCAAACGGCCCTGCTTCCACCGACAATCTAAAGAAGTCTTGTCTAGCACATTGGTACAACCTCAGGTGCGTCATCGACTGACATTTTCGTTCCAATCTATCCCTGGTTCCAAAGACTGCATCCACCAGAAATGGGGGTAGAACGCATCTCATTGTCCTAAGGGGGCGTCTCATATTTTTCCGGTCTCCGAGTTCCACTCGCACCTCCATCTTTTCCATCTCCATTTCCGCCCACTGACATACCACCCATATCACTGCTCGCTCCACTTGCATAAACAACTGATCTGGTGCCGTGCCCAGTACTAGTCCCACTACCATTCCATTTTCCATTTCCTGAGACACGTAGACCCATCCTCGAGCTTCCACCGTTCCCCGGAATTCTAGGTCCATCAGGCTGAGCGAGAGTCTTGTCAAGTTGACCTCAGTCCAAACTGTCTCTATCCAAAGGAACGCGTCCTTTTCAACCAGCATTATAGTTTCATAGGCTGGTTCCAGGTCCATTCACGTCCCTTCCTCCGGGAGAACAACAGATACCCCTTCCCTTACGTCTATTGGCATTTCCGGCCCACTAGAATAGACAGGAGATGAAAACCACCGGGCCATCTCGTTTTTCCGGCACCYTCCTGTTTTCACAATAGAGCACCACATGGCCCCTCATGATCAGATTGCCTCCCCCTCTTCTTTTGACGAGCATGGTTTTCAGACCCCTCATCCGGGTCTCCCTAGTATTCTCTACCCCTTTTCCTAATGTCGTCGTCCCGTCATACCCTCAATCGGTCATGCTTAGCCGGCATTGCTTTCTCGGGGTTCCTTTTCCTTCCGACTCCTATCCAGCCTTATCCTCATGTTCTCTCACTCGTGCAGACTCAGCCAGGGGTTAAGAATAGACTAGAGGCTCAGCTCCCATCCCAACATCCATCAGGCAGACTTTACAGAGGAAGACACATGAAAAAGAAAAACTCAAGCAGTCATCGCACACTGGCAGGTCATCTCCTCACCGACATTTTTTCCGGAAATGGTCTCTCCACTGTTACTATCGGCAGAGTTTTACCCCAAGCCTCAAGCACAGCTCAACCGTCGCGAGCACGGTACCCAGACTCCAATGGGGGGTCACCCTCACCTTCTTGCCCAGAATACCCCATCCCGACTTGCCGCTCGTGTGCCCACCGTTAATCTTGGGAATCACCCCGCACATCTCGGTAGGCCATTGGAGCCAACCGTCCAGGCATTCACTTCCATCTGTCCGATAAGGAACAACCTCTCCCAAACCAGGCTATGAGAAGCTACTGATCGCCTCCCAGGCTCTGTCTTTGTCCCCATGCAGTGGTGCTCCCTCCGCCAGTCCACAGGCTAGACCCCGCCTGAGGAACGTTTCACACCCCGCCCGACAGATCAACCGAGCCGAAGCCCGTCACCGCGCGGACGGGAATGCTAATAAGCACTCGACGTGACAAACTCCCATTAGACAGCTCGGTGGCCTGACCCCCACATACGAACAAACGGCAGTCTGCAAAGAGAACGATGTTTGGCAACCCGCAGTGGCCGGTGCAGACCCCCCCTTTCCTTCCAAATGGCAGGACGCTCGAAATCCCAGTCATGCAATCACAAGTCCCAAGTGGGACACACATAACACAAGTGCCTTTCCCTTGGTGCACCCAGCGCTTCCTACCCATAGCTCACAATTTTTCTCTCGGGACAGTGCTTGCCACTCACCCCTAACTTCCACACATAGTGCCCGGTTCCTTCTCGTGAGCATCTTCAAAGGTGAGCTAGTTTTCCTCGGAGTCTAGCAACTCCCTTCATTCCCTTATCTTCGCTTGTGTGTCCGTTCATAGGGCAGGATTGTTCCTTCTCGATTACCCTTTGTGTTCATATGAGGTTCCTTCAAATATTAAGTGTGGTGCGTGGAGCCCGCTGGGCTCCGGAGAAAAGGAAAGAGAGCACCCATGTCGGCCGGATCACTCTGCCGCGGGATTTTCATCGGAACCCGGACTAGCCCGGAATCCCAATCGCCTGCCAGGTAACCGGAGCCCTTCTTTCACACGAAGAGGAAGGGTCGACCTGCAGCTTGCCCAAGGCTTCCCCGGCCTGACGAACATTAGGCCGAAGGAAGGAGGACTAGAGTCACCTCCTCCAGGCCTGGCCTTGCTATGCGCCCAGCCACCCTCAAATCTGATTCACTCAAGGGATAGAGCATACACAAATCCATATTCCTTATCTTTACGTTTATGTTCACGGTCATGCGTCGGGCGCCCCCCTCGAGACCGTATTGGTTAGTTTAACCCAATACCCGACACCTCCAACCATTTTTTCTAGGGGCCGTACCCTGAAGGACTTTCGAGCCTGAGTGGACCCCACTACGGGTCCCATTTGGCTCAACCCGCCCACGCTCACACTCAGGGCGCGGGTCGTTCGTCCCAGGGGCATCCCCACCTAGTGCTTTGAGATGGATGGGGATGGGCCTTTTGCGAGAGGGCTTTACATTGAGGGATGTAGCTCCGCTCTCGATGGTAGCTCTTTAAACACTCGTGGCATTTGCTTGATTCTTTTAGTTTGACCAAGCAATTGCTCCTTCCAATACGCATGCAGTCCAGGGAGTTTATTGAGAGTTCATCTTCGTTTTGTGTGTAGGCCAAGCATCATCCATTGAACCACACACCTTTTCACTAAGCCTAGCGACTCAAGACCGCCCCTGCGGCATCCTCGGGGTGGGGTGGCACCGCCCGGACCCCTAGCCGTTATATTTTTTTTTTTTGCTTGAGTCACTCGTATTGCATTCACCTATCCAAGACCGCCCTCAGTTCTTCCGGGCGTATACTCCATTCAAGAGAGTCATTGCATTCAATCGCCATGCAAGCCGTATTCAGGCATCTACCATTCATCCAAGCATCTAACCGTCAAACCCATCATGCATTCATAGTTTATGCGAGGTCTAAGTCCCTCCCTTATCCAGTTTTCCGGTGGATCCAGTCCCGCCCGACACACATCCCGAGCTACTCACCTGCACAACGCCACACAAGATGAGAGACCCAAGTACAATCCCCATTGGGGTCAACACATCGCTCCTTCCCATAAGCCTAAGATTATTTAGCCTTCGATGTTCCTTAGGTTGTCTTTCCTCTTCCTTCAAGCAAAACCATGCCTTCACCTTAGTCAAGCAGTCGGGGAGGATGGTTGAGTCCAACTGACCTTGTCACAAAAACAATACTCCTTTCCGCTTTCACATATGTTTCCAACAGCCTGGTATCCTTTTCTTCCTGGTGGCACAAGGGATCGGCAGTCCTTCCCTTGCCCTCGCTTTCCACCAAGTGAGGACCAAGTTCTTTTCCGTTCGTCCCCTGGCAATTTAACAGGCGAGGGTAGAGGTTAGTCATATGTCACGGAGGGGAAGGAGTGAGGGAAGGGGCAAGGGCTAAAGAGTTCGAAGGAATGGGGGAG